TTTTTTTTTTCCCCGACCGTTGTCTTCCTTCTCCTGTCTTCTTATTCATCGCATCATCTCCTGCCATCCTTTCTCTCTCTCTATTTGACCGGCGTGTGTCATCTTTGCTTTTCCTTTCCCGCAATCCATTCTCACAGGAATGACTTGACGTTTTCCCATCTCCGACGAGTTGCTTCCATTCACTCTCGCTTTCCGAATCCTACACCCGCTTGAGTCTTATCGCAAGGCTTTACCGCTGTCTCTCCTCCTGTTCTCACCCGGCACATTTGTTATCTCTCCACATGGCCTTGCCTATCCGAGCTCCTCCGCCCGTCCCGTCCAGGTGCACCTCTGCTCCATCGTTCTCCCTGAGCTCCCCAACCCTCTCTCTCCACGTCTTCCCTGTCCCCTCTGTATCTCACTAGCTTGTGTGTGTGTCTGCCCTCTTCCCCGCCCCCCCCCCACCCCCACTTTCCTGCTGTCCGGCAGGTCCGCTTGCTGTACTGCTCCCAGGAGGAGGCCGAGCTGGTGTTCCGAGCGGCCTGGGCCGCGGGTCAGGCCAGCGCCTCGCACATGTGGTTCGCCGTGGGGCCGGCTCTCTCAGGTTTAGGCATGGAGAGCCTGCCCAGGGCTCTGTTTGCCGTGCGGCCCCAGGGATGGAGGGACGAGCCCCGCCGGAGGATCGCGCGAGGGGTCTCGGTGCTGACGCACGGGGCCGTGGCCATGCGCAAGGATTACGGGACGACGGGCGGGCCCAACTTTGTCACCAACTGCGCCGCGGATGCCAATCAGACACAGAGAATGCGGGGCAGGATGAGGTGAGAGCGGCGGGCCCGGAGGAGGTTGGGATGAAAGTTGGGGACAGCAGACAGAAAATTTGGAGGACGACAAAGCGAGTGAGAGACAAGGAAATGAGTCCGTGGCTCGCTAAGGGGGAGCGGAATGCCACACGGGTGGACTCGGGTGTCAGACGTCAGAGTTTCGGAGCCGGCGACCGTCCACGGAAAAATAGAAGTTATTGCTGCGTCTGCTTGCGAGTTGGCAAAATGATCCGGGCGTCTGTAGCAGGCGGACCGTGTCTCATGTATATTAATGACCCTCTTTAATATATTCCTCTTAGCCTGTGCAAACAGGCAGCGGCGCACTCCAACAGGTAGCCCGAGTGCTCGGGCTTATCATCACTGCTCGTTTTTAAATGCCACTCAGTCCAGCTCCTTGAGATACTGCAAACAACGCGGTCGTATGGATGGATTAGTCTGGAAAACGAGCCAAAGACGTCATTTGCTAGCTTATTTGCTGTGACATTTGTAAATGAATTGCAGCACAAATGTAGCAATTAAAAGGGAATGATGACTCGATGGCTCTCATTTGCTTCTGAACTACGTCCAGGGACGGCTGACGCTCTTCTTGCCATTTGTATTTGCGCTGCTCCCTGCTGTTCATCGTCCGCTACTGCATTCTGCCGCCCCGCCGCAGCGGACGGCTTGACGCCGGCAGACAATTAAAACGTCCGTCCAGCGGGATTATCGGACAAAAGGATTTATTAGTGGCTTCACAGCGCGTCAGATGATTTGAGCAAAGATCTAATCACCAAATGAAGTCTGACAGCCACCAGACAGGATGTGTTTGCTCTTCCAAGCTGACCGTCTCTCTCTGTGTCTCTTGCGTGTATTCCCCACACAGGTACTTCAGTAACATTACGCTTGGTGGCCGAGATTACTCCTTCGACGCTGACGGCTACCTGGCCAATCCCTTCCTGGATGTCATTTCCTGGACACCTGGGAGAGGATGGGAAGATGTAAGGACATGATATCAGGTTTTTTTTTCTTCGCTGTGTGTTTGTGCTGAATGTTGATGGCAAGAAAAGATCCATCCGTTTATTTTAACGTCCCTGTGAAATCAAAATGTCTTTTAAATTTAACACACCATAGAGAAGTGTGTTTTTAAGAAAACCGCCCAATTGGAATGATTTTTATTATTATTATTTTTTTTTAAATCCAGAATCAAGTCCGTTTTTCTCTGTTCTCAAATGCATGTCCTCCAAATGCGGGAAATCACACATTACTGAAAAAAGAATTCATTTAAGCACTATTTTTTTTTTTTTTTAAATGCCTACACGTCCCTCCCTATATGTTTGAGCCCAAAAATGTGATCCATTCAAAACCTTCAGCGAATCGCACCGGGGTGTTGTGGAGATTCCCACATTACGACCAAGAGTCATTAGCCACCAGCTAGCTTTTGAGCTAGCTGGCTCCCGGCGCTTTTCTTGGGATGGACGTCCGCCTCCTCGGGAATCTAAATAAGTACAGAGAGCTGTTTTGTAAGCTGTTGTGTCCGGGCAAGATGCATTTTTGGGCAGTGTAAGCAGAGCGAGCTAATTGCCGCCAACTGATGATAATTAAGGTGCTCGCTTCTTATATCGGTTCTGACGCAGGTTGGAAATCGGCGAAATCGTGAAAATGTCATTGCTCTCTCACCAAAATTCAGTCACGTCAGTCTTTTCACGAGTTCAGCAGTTATCTTCACACATGTATCATGTATTTCAAACACAATTTCTGAATTCACTCGACAAAAGCGAAAGCGAGCAGCTTGCATTGCATTTTTGCATTGTTGAGATGTTGCCCTTGATGAGTCGCTGCGAGGCCAAAAAAGCAGTCGGAGGCGAATTTGTGCTGATATTTCCTTACATGCTGGATGAACAAATCTGTGCATGCAGCATTGGCATGTCGAAACATAAACCTGACAGTGAGAATCGGAAAGGTCACAGGGGTTTACGTTCACGCAAAGTTCAATATTTCTTCCAGTGCCTGAGGCTGTCGGGAGATGCCGGCTGCATGTTTTTGACTGCGCTCTCTTTGCGTCTGCACTTGGGCTGTCAAAAAAAAAAAAAAACTTACCTTTTTGATCATTTTGTCCAGTGAAAGCTAAAAACCTCTGGCCTAATCTGTGTAGGGAGGCTGTTCGACCTCTGTTTTGTTCGAATTTCATTTGGAAATTAATTGTGTCCATTCCAAGGTCGAACTGACACCATAAAACTTTGATTAACTGTGCAGGCAATTTGAGAGAAACATTTTAATCTTCTTAACAGCCATACAAAAAAAAAAAAACAGAAACACGGTAATATTAGCATGGTGAAGGACACTTTAAACTCTTGTCCATACATGAGAAGGGATTCAAAACAAAATTTGCCTTTTTGTCACAAGTGATAAAAGTATTTAGCTGATCTATTTAGGAAAAAAATGTCAGCAATAACACACACGACCCATGACAATGTGAATCACTGCTAGCCAGTCGGTAGCTAGCGGCAGCTAGCATATTCGGTTTTGTTCAATCACAGCCAAAAACGAAAGGTGCCACGACAGTGGCCTGCCCAAAAGGGAAGTTGCGTTGACGGGGTGTCGGCAAAGCTAGCTCGCGAACTACAAGTCTCAATTGGTTGGGCCAGATCATCGCTGAAGGCGCTCGGGTTGGTTTTCAAAGCGGGGCGGGGGCATTGGCATTTGAAGGTTTCACGCATCGGACATCTTCTGCGGGAATTAAAGGAAAGACATTGCTCATGCAAGACTTTGAAACATGAGGAGCATTAGCGGCGGAAAATAAATAAATTAATTAATTAAATGGCTGTCCCCAGGTGCTGACAAATCGTCTACGGTCCAAATGTTGCCGAGTTCTTCCTGTTGGTAGTGTAAGAATGATGACTTTCGTCAGTGAGCCTTGCACTGTAGCGTTGCGCGTACATTCTGGTGCAAAATGTACCTTTTTCTTAAATCGATAAAGAAACAAAGTGCGACGCTGCCGTCATAAATATGGACCGAGACATTTCCGCTTTCAAGGTTCATTTGGAAAGAAATGAAAGACGCTGATTGTTCTCATTTGTCGCCTGCGTTCTCGGATCCTACCTTCCAGATGAAATTCAAATTGTGCTGCGTCTTAGCCCATAGATTGTGTGCATGTTTCGCCCGACACTTTGTGCATGTTCTACATAGCTGGCGTTTGTTTGACAACGCCTTGGCATGTTCCCCTTCCGCTGTGATGGCCGACTATTGTGTTCTTACACTGGTGGGAAAAAAAATGAAGCCATCCTGATTTTGCCGCGTCACCGTGTACACGGTCACAAACGTCGTCCTAACAAGTGGAACCAAAGACTGTGCTGTACCGTTTATGCACACGAGCACAAATAGACACATTTGGAAGTTCTCAGCCCCCCCCCACCCCCGCTGGCCTTAATAGCCCAGCCGAGTCCAGTCACCCTGTGTGGTCACCTGCTGACTCCTCCTGCCACGTCCCTGAAATCCCTTTCAATTAGATGCTCCTACGCAAGTCCTTCGACTCAAACCAAGGGTACCGTACCCCGCCCCCTGACACACACACACACACACACACACACACACACACACACACAAACAAACACAAACACACAGGCACGCGCGTGAAGCCTTGGCACGTAGAAATGAGAGCGCAATCTGTATGCGTAGTCCCTCCTTGCATGGATGCTACTGCACACAAACACAGCGAAAGCGGATAAGAGCCCCCGTATCTGCCGAGTATGCACATCCACGCTGTTGGCGCTCCCTGAATATTTAATGTTGGCTTTACAATGACTGCGCCATTACCGAAAGCCCAGGAGCGTCCTCGCTCGGCTGCTAAAACGCTGCGCAACGGCTACCGAAGGTTGTCAGGCACCAGCCGGGGTCCCTTAAGCTGGGGGGGGATATGTTCCGTGGGTGTTGCACTACGTTCGTGAACATTTACAATCAAGACTTCAAAAAGACAGAAGGGTCATCGCTTCAAAATTGAAAACGTGGTGTGTTTAAATTCCCGAATGTTCCAATTGAGGGGTTGTTTCTCTCCATGCGTTTATACAAGGCGAGAGCATTTTACAATGATACACAGATAAACCGCCGCATCTCGTAATTCATGTCATAATTAACAAGGAAGTGTTTCCCCACACAAACAGAATCGAGATGAGGAGTGGGAAGAAGAAAATCTTGTCGAATCCCACCCCACCCCCTTTTTCATCAAGCGTCTTCGGTGCGTCTCGCAGTGTCGAGTTCTTTTCTTTCTGTTTATTTTTTTAGTTCTGGCCTCTCTATTGCTCAAACAGAGAAACGGAGGAGTGCTAGCCGCAGCTAGCTGCCCTTCACATTATTACGGGTAATGTGTGTTATTGCTGTTATTGGCAACTTTTGTTATTATTCCCTTCTCATGTATCATTCATGACAACAGATTAACAATTTAGAGTGCTTTACCATGCTAACATTACAGCGGTTATGTATTTATTTTTTGTTGTTGTCGGCTGTTGAGATTAAAAAAGTTTCTCTCAGAGGCAAAAAAACAACAACAACACAAGCACAGGTGGATCGAAACATTGGCCATACAAACTTATTGCAGTACATTTCATTGCATGTACTGACCATGTATTTCCAAAAAAAAAAAACCCAAATGTGAGTATCTTGTGATCGCTTATGTTGCATATACGGGCTGTCCCAAAGTTTCACTCGGTCAAGTGGAACGAAGGCAGTTGTCCAACTGTAACGCCTGGAGAGAGGATTAGTTGGCTACACTTACTCTGTATGACCAACGAATGAAGGAGAATGTAAGCTGTATAGCGTCTTCCACAAATAAGCATTTACGGCGCCGCTTGAGCCCAGAGCGAACATTGCACATTACAGTGCACACAAAAACATTCCTTGAAAATGAGTTTGACTCGCAGATAGTTTGAATGGTATTTTCCCCTCTGAGTAGCTGTTTTATTGTCATTAAACCTATTTCATACTTTTTCTTGTTTTGATTCGGTGTAAAAAAAAAAAAAAAAAATCAATAAATAAACCAACCCAACAATCAATTCAACACGATTATGCGAATTCTTAATGATGTCCATCCTCCGTCCGAGCGGTTGTTCTTTTGCTGACCAGATTTTTAGTGACGACGAGTTGGGAACGCCGACATTTGTGTCCCGGTTGTGATTTGAGTCGGGGCCTGTTGCATGGCTGCGGTCGAAGCGGCAAGCTGTGAGTGGAGCGACCTCCTCTTCCTCTCGCCGTCCATGTTGCCTGCGCAAATCTGCCAGGCTTTTCTCAACCCGCTTAAGCAGTCGCTGTCGACGCCGTCTCCAGTACATTCATGTATTATTGTGTGTGTGTGTGTGTGTGTGTGTGTGTGTGTGTGTGTGTGTGTGTGTGTGTGTGCGTGTGTGTCTGTGTGTGTGGGGACACCTCAGGCTGCTGCACGTAAGCGCACCCGGTTTTCATTTATGTGCGTTGTGTGGATGTCGCCTTAGTCACGCTTGTCACAAGGCTTAAAGGTGACTTTTATCATCAGGTGAGCGTGCACCATCGGCATTTGTGCTTTTCAGAATCTTCACATTCCACGGCGAGCGAATGCGACAATGCAGAGAGGCCAACGAGAATGCAGATTTCAGAAGCACGTATTTTCAAACGAGCTGAGCAACCCCAATCGCCCCCCCACCCTCTCAGCATTTCTTTGCACACCGGCGCAAAGTGGCCGAGCGGAACGGAACACTTTGACGCCGGCTGTGAAAGTGGCGATTCTTGAGCTGATTACAGCTGGCAATCAGCCCTATGCAACACTCAAATACAGTCTGAGTTAAGGCCAAAGTTTTCCAAGACTATTGCGCTTAAAAAAAATTTTTTACATGGGAAGCGGGAATCCAAATCAGAATGTGTGCGTGTGTGTGCGTGTGTGTGTGTGGTGTCACGTGTAGGCTAATTGAAACAAATGTACTTTTTTGCTAGTTCTCCACATTTCTTGCAATGGTGTATTTTCCACTGTTGGCCAAAAGTATTGGGTCAGGAGATACTGTATTCCTTGTCCTTGCTTGACCGTCAGCCATTCTCGAAGCGCAGTACGAGGACCGCTATTGGCACATGAATGAATCACTGCCGAGGTACGGTTCAGTTGTATTTCACTTTTTTCGGCAGCGTACAGTTTTATGTGCAATCATTGAATCGTTGTTTATTTATATATTTCTATTTTTTTTCGTGTTTATGACCGGTCAAAAGAGCCTTGTTTGCATTTGTATGGTAACGCATCATTCAAAAAAAAGTGTGCTTTTAGCACCTAAGTGAACCAAATTCCTGAATCCACATTCTGATATTTTCCACGCGCATAATGTGCAGCTCGTGCAAACATGTTATCGTGACCAAGAACAAAGCAACACATGAGTCAGAGCGCAGCGCGGCGGGTGCTTGCTAATGGCTCGTACGGGCTGAACGCATGTTGTCCCCTGTAGGTCCTTTGCTCAGACTCTGATTGAAGTGTGAGATTTTAATTGCAACTGATACATTTTTAATGAAGCATGGGCTTGGGGGTTACACGTTTTATCCAATTTTCACATCTGCGCAGCCGAGACCGAAATACGTTGCCGGTATGATCCTTGAATTGGACGCAAAATGGCATCAAGGCGTCTAAATTCAAGGCTGTTTGCTTGGGCGACCGTGTCCAGCGGCTCACGTCTGTAATCCATTTCTTGTGCCGTCACGTGTACCCGCGTTGCATTTTACTCCCAGCCGTAATGTCCAAGTGGTTATTATGCGGCTCTGTGCGTCAATGGATGACGAGCGCAACAAATCTGGATGACGAGTCTGGTGCCATCAATCAACGTAGCCTTTGCACGGGCATGATTTTGCCAGGTAATTGCTCCCGTCCAGCATAACACGGCATCGCAATTGTAATTTAGAGCCGTGTGTCGCAAGTAAGGCGAACGGCCCCGATACCTGTAACAATATCATGGAAGCTAGCAGCATGGCCATGCCTGCAGTAAATAACACCTTGATGGAGATAACAATGTGATTTTTTTAAAAATGTTTTTTTATTGAGGCTGTCACAGAGAAGGTCGTTCGTCTCAGTGGTCAATTTGTGGCCATGTAGCTGCTTTGTACAAGTTGATTTTAGCAGCTTAACGTGGATGAAACGAAGCAATCTCATGCACTGATTAGCATTGCGCCTTTGAGTGCGACAATGGAGTCGCTTTCTATCGCTGCTGTTGGGCCGCCTTTTGCGGGAGAACGACTCGGTCAAAACTTGAGTGCCGCTCTTCATGGAAGGAAAAAGTCCCTTCAAAGCAAATTCACGGAAGAAGTTGCGTACAAACACGGTGAAGTGGCATCTCGCTGTTATGCTACTCGCAAGTTGCCAACAGATAGTTTTGAAGCTACTTTTTATTTATGTCCTTTTGTTTTGAAATGTCTTGAAATCTTTTGTTTGTGAATGCGATTAAACGTCGTCACTGTACTTAGACTTTTTTTTTTTTTTTTAATAGGGATTTCAATCATTCTCTCATTGAGGTCAATCGTAAGAGCGGTATTCTCCTGCTGCTTCTAATTTGCATGTCAACTCGCCGACTAAATTCATTTGTGTTTTTCAAGAAGCGCAAAGTATGATGCAAGCAATCTGCAATTGTGCCTTTGTTTGACGGCGCTTCTCTGTCTTCCCAGGTAGGCTGGTGGGAGAATGGCGTACTGAGACTGCGCTATCCGGCCTGGTCCCGCTATGGGCCTTTCCTTAAACCTCCAGACGATGCTCAGCATCTGCGTGTCGTCACGCTCGAGGAGCGACCATTTGTCATCGTGGAGCTGGCAGACCCCGCGTCGGGAACTTGCATCCGGGACTCGGTGCCCTGTCGGCGGCCTCTCAATGCCAGGTTTGATGCCTCCTTTTACGGAGTGAAGGATCTCCAAAAATGACCTGAGCGTGTAACGAATTTGGAAATGACCCATTTTGTTGTGTTTGACGAGAAAACTTGGGCCTGACTGTATTTACAATTGTGGATGGAAAGCAAAGGGTGGAGAACCTCCGTCGTCAAACGGAGACTATTGGTCGTTGGCGACGAAGAGTAACGGACAGTATATTGAATGTGGAGCCCCAAATCTTAGTACAGGGTGTGATGGAAAATGTGAGTTCAAACTGTGCAATCGTGCTTTTCTTGCTTCCTGAAAACCTTTCCCTTTTTTTTCCCCTTTTTGTGCAACTGGTTTGTAGCGCCAATCACGAGGGAGTGGCTCCCATGAAGCAATGCTGCAAGGGCTTCTGCATCGACATCCTCAAGAGATTGGCCAAGATCGTCGGCTTCACCTATGACCTCTACCTGGTGACCAACGGGAAGCACGGCAAGAAAATCGACGGCGTGTGGAACGGCATGATCGGAGAGGCGAGTGCTGTTGGCGCGTTTACTCGTGCGGGATTTTCTGTCAATATGCCGTATGCAACGTTCCTCAGCCCCTTGGGTGGCCATTAAACACAAGACAGAGCGCGAATGGGAAAAGCAAACAGTTGCACTAATTAAATGGACAGGGATGATGGTAAACACACGCTCCTGCAAACCCATCCCAACGCCTTCTCCGAAGCAAACAAAGGCATCAACAATGTCAAAGAGCTTCTGGCTAGTTTGATTCGCCGTCGCAATACGAGCTTCATGTCACGGTACATTCGCCTGACTGTCATGCTGTGATTGTGTCTCTGTACGTGCGCCGCTACTGTCAGTAAAGGAAGCAGTCCGCCTTTTGCCCAAAGTAAGCTGAGCTCTCGCTCACCCGCGACCCAGAACTGGACACGCGGCTTCGAAAATGGATGGATTGAAGGCAATTAGTTGTGGTAGTCAGACTTGCTGCAACGCACGATATTTTGGAGTCAGCCTATCCTCCGTCAAGCATCTGCAGGTGGTCCATAATGCTGCCGCCTCGCCTCCTAACTGGAGCTCGTAGGAGGGAGCACATTTCTGCAATGGCTCCCTGTACATTTTGGAGTTCATTTTTGGAATTATTTTATTTGGCCAATCACTTCTTGGAGCTCCTCCATCAAGGTAGTGGGGTCTACTAAGCAAGGGGGTATTTTTCCGTTGTTGGTCCTTTGCTTTGGAATGACTTTCCTTTAAACGGTAGGCGAACCCGCTCTCTGTCTATCCTTAAAACTGGTCTTCAAACACATTTTTTATTCTTTCACCTTGAACCCAGATGCAGAGGACACGCATGTTCTGCACTTGCACCATATCGTTCCCTGAATGCATGCACATTTGACGGGTCTCCGAATGCTCCGTGTCCTCATGAGGGTGGCTCAGATAATCGTGCATTTGGTGGCCGTCCCTTCTAGGTGGTATACAAGCGGGCAGACATGGCCATTGGCTCTCTGACGATCAATGAGGAGAGGTCCGAGGTTGTGGATTTCTCTGTCCCTTTTGTGGAAACGGGGATCAGCGTCATGGTCTCCCGTAGCAACGGAACTGTATCGCCATCTGCTTTCCTCGGTAAGAGGCCTCCTCTTTTATGTGACGCATCCAAACAGATGTTGAGTCTTGATTTTTTTTTTCACTGGAGTCTTCTGTCTGCCTCCAAAGAGCCCTACAGCCCAGCGGTGTGGGTGATGATGTTCGTCATGTGCCTGACCGTGGTGGCTGTGACTGTCTTCATCTTTGAGTTCTTCAGTCCTGTGGGCTACAACCGCAGTCTACAAACTGGCAAGAGTGAGTGACGAGTTTGCTCGCTCATCAACTCTTCTGTCTACTTTATTTTTATGTTTCGTTCCTCTTCAGGCCCGTTATGGCTGTTGCTCATCCGCGGTAACGGGTCGATCGCAGGAGGTTGGTTGATCGAAAAGTAGATCTTCGGTCCAAAAAGTCCAATCTTGACAGACTGGCACAGCGAACTGACCCAAAATAAAATCATGACCATGTCAACGGCCAAGCGAGTCAGTCCTGCATCTGAAAATGCCCACTTTGTCATCCATGGCTGGAAGTTGTTGTGGATATAAAAAGTGTTGCAAACTTGATATGAGTCTTCGTGATTGATTTATTTATATTTGGGGGGGGGGTGCAAAATGGTCTCGCACCAAGCCGCTCTCTGTCTTCCCGCTTGGGCAGCATTGACACCTTGGGTCCAGATTGATTTAGCAGCACGCTGGCATTTTTATCGCTGCGCCAGAAGCGGCGCGCTAAAACGTTACGGATACCGAGCAGCGTGGCAACCAGACGACGTGTGACGAAGCTGAAACGTTCAAATTCATGTCGCTGCCTCGTCTGCTGGGTTGCGTGTAAAAAAAAAAACAACTAAAAAACGACAGCGTTGGCTCGCGCCAACCACTTAGGCGGATGGAAGCGCCGACCAAATCATCAAAGTAAAAAAATTAAGTTGGATTATTTCTCAAAAATCCTTCAGAGTTCATTTTCAGACTTTTGAACGCTTTCATTAAAATGTGAATGTTCAACGTTCCCGTACTCGGTTCCTTAAAGGTGTGATAGTGAGTCGCGATAGCTTCGAGGTTCCTTGACACCTGCAAGGTCGGAGTCATGACATCACCAGGAAGCCGCACCTCATCGGCACGCCTCGAAATGTGAGCTGACTTGCCCGAAAAGATGCAAATAGTGAATGATTCCAACTCTGTTTTGGCCGTTTGTTCTTCCACCACAATCGCAACTTTTAAAAAGGAAACAGAAAAAGGAACCCGCTTATTGGAAAAAAATGTCTTCCCCTCAGTGGGTCCCTGTGTCATATTTGTTGTTATCCTTTTTTTTTTTTCTCTCTCAGTTTCTGAGTGAGCTGTCGCCGAGAGTTACGTTTAAAAGGCTGCCTCGCGCCTCCTCGACGCGAGCGCACGGTGGGTGGTCGGCATCCCGGCGTACGGGAAATATGAGCCGTGTCATTTCGGGCCATCGGTAGCGTCTGTGGGCCATTGTAGTAAAGTGCGCTCGGCTTGAATGTAACCTGCTGCCCCCTGTTGAGCGGGAGCGCCAAACATAAATCGCCCGTTTGTTCGAATCAAGCGCGAGCGGGCGAAGAGGGACTTGTTGAACTGCATCCGAGTGTGTCGAACATTGAAGAGGCCATTTATTATTCAGCGGCGTCGTTTGTACTACTCCTGTGATATTTAATGCCTCGGATGCGTTGGCCGCTCGTCTGCCGCTTGACTAGGCGTCGATTTAAGGGAGTCCTTCTCCTCCCTCCTCGACTTGACTGCCAGATCGTGGCAGAGCATCACGGAGACTTGAATGATGACCGCTCGCGCGAGGTTACGTTTATTGGCGACATAATGCGGCCGCTCTCCTCGCTGGTCACGCTTCGCCGTCAATAAGCTCGCGAGATTGTTTGATATCCAGCAAACCCCAATTGGGGCATCGTTCACCGAGGCTTTGTTGGAAGGCTTCCGTGCGGCCGCTCACCGTTTTCTTTCCCTCTCTCCTCTCTCCGGACAGAGGCCGGCGGGTCTACTTTCACGATCGGAAAGTCTGTGTGGCTTTTATGGGCCATAGTCTTCAATAATTCCGTGCCGGTGGAGAACCCCAGAGGAACAACGAGCAAGATCATGGTGCTGATCTGGGCCTTCTTCGCCGTCATTTTCCTGGCCTCGTACACCGCTAACCTGGCCGCCTTCATGATCCAGGAGGAGTACATTGACACGGTGTCAGGGCTCTCCGACAAGAAGGTACTTTGTCGCTTGAATGATAATGAGCTGTACTGGGAGAGTGGCGGGGGGGGGGTGGGGGTCAAATAGAAGTCATAAGGGAGTCGAATGCCGTGAATTTCAACATTAAAATCGATTACAGTGGAGAAAAGGATGAAATCTCATTGGACATAATGCTCTGACCGCACTACTTGACTACTTAAAAATCAATTCTAAATCCTAAAAGTCCCCAGCTTGTCTCCCCTCAAGATTTGACGGTGTTCAAAGTGGAACAAAGGGACAGAAAGAGGTCCGATTGGTGCACAGCCTGAAGTGTTTGACGGCCCTTCCTTGGCTTTCAGTTTCAGCATCCCGAGGAGCAGTATCCGCCGCTGAAGTTCGGCACGGTGCCCAACGGCAGCACGGAAAAAAACATCCGCTCCAACTACCCGGACATGCACCAGTACATGGGCAAATACAACCAGAGAGGAGTGGAGGACGCCATTCTCAACCTCAAGACCGGGTTGGTGTGCCCGAACTTAGTCCTGCTCATTCGGTGTTTCTCCGTCACGCTCTGCATTCGACCGTCCTTGGCAATTCTTTGACTCGTAAGCTGTTTTCTCGTTGAAAAACCGCAAATCCAAATACGGAAGCCACAACGAAATTTGGACCGTGAAAGGAAACGTCTTTCCCCAAAATGACTCAATCGTGTCGCAAAAACTTATTTTCTAACCGGGGAGACGAGTGATGGGAGAAGATTGAGAGGGGGAGAACTGGCAGTAACATGAAGAATAATTCTGACAAGAAAATGGAACCCACAAATTTGGTTCCATCGTTGAATTGAGTTTGATAGCATAATCGTAGCAATTTGGTCAATGTCAGCTATTGGTAGAAAGGTCGTTTTCTGACCGTAAACAACCAGACAATCCCCAAACTGGGTCGGTCAAGTTAGCTGGATACTTGCAATCAAATTTTTAGCCTTGCAATCAAATTTTTCCTCCTCGACGATTGTTCAGCGCTCTTTTATTGGTGACCTGCGGCCCGCGTTTAAGCAGTTACGGCTCGTCATTGTGTTCCTTGCACATTTTAAAAGCGGGCAATACGTTTCAGTTGCTGTGGCGACCAACTTTTAACCATGGCCATGCGCACTTGCTCCTTTGAATTCTTGCGCCACACCAAATTGCCTCCTTTTCAACCTAAAAGTGTTGGCGCTTTCCAAATCGTGTTCGTGTTGACCGGATTGATGCGGCAGTCATACCACAGCATGACAATAAAATTGGACGTGAATTAAATTTGAGTCGGTCCGTCCGTAATGACAGTGATGGTGGTTTCTTGACACGGAAAGCTTCCAAAAACACCAACAAGAATCCCTTGCAATTATCGCCGCCGAGCTGAGATTCTTTGATGAGCAGTCGATTTATGTCGACAGATTTTAGTGTCCGGTCTTATGGGCCGGGAAGGAAGCCGGCCGGGCCCGGTCAATTGAGCGCCAAAGACACCATGGGGATGCTCATCTCTCGATTATCCAGCCATATCAAAAAACCCACACAAACGAACAGAAATGAAAACCAAAGCAGACACTTTGCGAGGATTCACAAAAGAAGGCAAAAGAGAGAGAAAATGACATCGCCAGCTCCCCGATGAGTCGATGAGTGATCGTTCAGAAAAATCACGCCGGCATTGAAAAGAAATAGCAGCCGCCACCAGGCCGCTCGATCCAAATGACCCCAAAAGCGTCCGTCTGAGTTGTGACAGCATTTGACATGCACGCCGTTGGACGTGCCCGTTCTTATTTGCCCTCACACCTTGCCGTGTTGCCAACGTGCGATGTGAAAAGCTCGCATCGGCTTCCCCTTCAACTCGGACTCGTATTTTCATCTTATGTCCCACTTTTCCCTTCTGTCACCTTCACTTTATCACTCCAAACATCTTCAAGACTGCGGATTCTAATTCGTATGTACACATTTATAACCCCGCGCACACATACATACAGTACGTGCATATGGAGCGGGACACGCGTACGATCAAGTTAGGGGTGGCGGTCTCCACGCACCCACTTCCCAGTGCAGATGTGCTTTGTCGCTCAAGGAGCCACCTTGATTGGCCATGATTGAAGTCAGCTGTGACCACACCCACAGCGATGCAGACCTCCCTCTTACGGTACTCGTAAAAGGGAGCGCACCACTGCTACTCCGGCATCCCTTCACTGGCTCATTTGAGAGTCCTGTTCAAGATCCTGTTTTTTGTTTTCCAATCTTGAAATGGCCTGGCCGCATCTTACCTCGCTCGCTCCTCCCCCCCTCGCCGGTGCCGCGGGTCTGCGGACGCTATTAGAGCAATCAGCAAGCCCCCGCCCCTCGCTGGCCATCTTTCAAACTTGTCATTTTTAGTCTTTGGCTTTTGATTTTTAGTTGGTGTGGTTTCTTTTTTTCTCCTGTCTTCATTATTAATTTATTGTTTGTTGTATGAATCATTTTTGCTCCACGTACGGCACTTTGCGTGGAGCGGTCGTTGAGAATCCTTCCTCTCGCATCCATGCTTCTTTAGCTCGCTTTTGGTCTTTTCTTTCTCCTTCAAGTGTGTTTTGTCGCTACGTCCCTATTTAAACTTTCTAATCCTCCCCACTCTCGCCCCTGTCGTTTCCCCCTGAAGTGTGTAAATTTTCTTCCTCCCCTCTCTCGATTTCCCCCCTTGTCACCGCGCTCTTCACAGCGTATAAATCCTCATCCTCCCCTCCGCCTCCTCCGTGGACGCTTCCCTCATCTCGGCGTCATTTTATTCTCCTTGTTTTTCCACGCGCTCCGGTCCGGTTTTGCATGCCGAGGCTGAAATTTGGAATGTCGTCCTCGAGGTGCGCTTACTGTGGCTTTCTACTCTGCCAACTCCCTTTCCAGGAGCAATTAGTTAATGAGTTGCCAATTTGGTGCCAGGTTATGTGAAAGCAGTCTGAATATTTTCACCCCGATGACGCTCCGTCACCGTTTCATCCCTCCATCCTCCCCCAGCCCCTGGATCCTCCGCTCCGACTCCCATTAATGATGAATGCCTTTTTCTTTGATCCTTTTTCAGGAAACTGGACGCATTTATTTATGACGCTGCAGTGTTGAACTATATGGCCAGGAAGGACGAAGGTTGTAAGGTACGAACCAGCTCCCAAGCACACACCGTGCTGAGGCACAGCGGACATAAATAGAGGGAAGTTGACATCTACGTTCAGCTTTGTTTTAATTGCCCGTTGTCCCTTTTCTTTTTTTTCGTTTTTCTTCTCTTCAAGGTGATGACCATAGGCTCGGGGAAGGTTTTTGCCACCACAGGCTACGGTATCGCCCTGCACAAAAACTCACGCTGGAAACGTCCTCTCGACCTGGCCCTTCTGCAGCTGGTGGGAGATGGTGAGAATGACGAGGAGGAAGCAATTAAATCAATTGAGGGAGGGAGGTAAAGAGAGAGAGAGAGGGGGGAGAGAGAGACAGATAGAGTGAAAGGGAGAGATATGGAGAGAGAGAGAGAGGAGTGAGAGGGAGAGCGACAGATGTGAGAGAGAGTGACAAACAGTAGAGAGAGAGAGAGAGAGAGAGAGAGAGACAGAGAGAGAGAGAGAGATGAAGGGGCGGGGGGAGAGAGAGAGACGGGAAGAGGGAGAGAGAGAGCGAGAAGGAGAAGGGGAAGGAGGGAGAGGAGTGAGAGGGAGAGCAACAGATGTGAGAGAGTGACAGATGGGAGAGAGAGAGAGAGAGATAGAGAGAGAGAGAGAGAGATTTTATCATGGCAAGGGGAGTAATGGCAGAGAGAGAGAGGGAGGGAGAAAGAGACGGGAAGAGGGAACAGAGGGTGAGAAGGTGAGGGAGAGGAGCAACGGGGCGAGAAAGAGAGAGTTTTTTTTTTTTTTTGATCATGACAAGGGGAGTAATGGCGTGTAGGAGAGGTGATGGTGGTTGCGGTGGGAAGAGAGATGCCTAAAAGCTCTCTTTACTGTCCGCCTGTGAGTGGGAAATAAAACCGGGACTGGCACCGAGAGGAATATGATTGTCCACTGAAAAGATTGCTTGAGTAAGACGGCAACAAGGGCCTCCCCTCGTGTTTTGGACTCCGAATCTCAATTCGCTTCCCCTGCTCGGGAAACAAAAACCAATAAAATGAAATGATCTTTGTGAGTCCTGGGTCGAAAAGGATCATCACGACTTGAGTGGTGATTCGCAGCGTGTTCCCGATTGGCTGATGCTGACATGGGCAGGGAAGGCCAAGGAAAACATGATGAAAGAAAGGCCAAGACGTGGCTTGCGGGGGACTAAAGAGGAGAAGAAGAATCAAATGTTCGGTGAGTTGACCGTGTGCAACTGATTGTTGCTTCTTTGCTTCGCAATGGAGTGCAGTACTCGGCTGCAACCAGCAGAGGCGCTCTTGATTCAGGAGCAACCAGTTTGTTGTCTTGACGAACTTTGAGCTCCGTTTTGTCGCCGTTGGGCAGCAACCTCGTATTTTCTACAAACGTTGGGCTACTTGTCAGTGGACGTCAGGCTTTCATCATGGTGCTCCATGTTCATGAGGACCGAGTGATTTTTGTCGAGGACGGCGCAGGCACTTTGCAGTGATGTTGATCCGCAATCTGAATTCTTCTGCTCAATGCAACACTGGCTGTCCAAACGGCGCTTTGCAACATTCGTCGAAAGATTTTGGCTGGAAATAAAAAAGCGGGGGAAAAAAATATGCACATTTGTTAGCAGTGGAAACCTTATTAGAATCTTCTTTTTGGGATTATGGGAGGCATCTTGTGTGTGTGTGTGTGTGTGTGTGTGTGTGTGTGTGTGTGTGTGTGTGTGTGTGTGTGTGTGCGCGTGTGTGTGCGCGTGCGCGCGAGCGCCCTCGAGAAAATCAGTTTTGCACTCAGCACAGCAATGCTTGATTGTCATTTTACACTGTCCACGTCATGCATTTATTGTCACCATTGGCTGCCGCTTGCCCGCTTGGCTTCTCCTCGGGCGCCAAATCAGCTTTGCTTACGGCGTAGCGGACAAAGCGCTTTTCGTTGTTTCTGGCATGCAGACGCTTCAGCTGATTACGCACTGATAGTGCCAATTTGGTGCCAAGATCTATTAAACAAAGCCGCTGTCTGCCGCTGCATAGCTGGACCGGGAGAGGAAGTCAAAACAGAGCGCAGACAACCTTGACATGCGCACAACGGTGGTCTTCTCGAAAATGCATCCACGTTTTCCGTTTTGCCTTGTTACTTTGACACGACATGACAATTGTGCGTCAGTGTCTCATTTTTACATATGTATAGACGTGTGGATGTATTTATCGTTTTTTTTCCACAATCAGTTGATGAATCGACTAGTCTGCCGATCCCTCGTGCGTGTTTCGGCACGCGCCGGCACTTATCCGCAACGGACGCGTCGGCTCTCAGGGTCGCTTTTGAACGAGACAAAGGTTTTATTGGAGTGGATTACTACGAGAGCGGATTACCTTGCTCCGATGTGGTGGAAAGGGGGGCCCACCCCTCAAGGGCCGCTTCCCGACTCTTGTGTGGCACTTTGAGCTGGGCTAATAACATGTCACCGGGTTACATCATGGCCGTTGCGTCTGCTCAATCGTTTTACAAGCTTTGCTTTGTCGCCCCCAAGATTGTTTTTGATCTCCCTATCGCCACCTCTGGTAAACGCCGTAGCATTGATCTCACTACATCTGGTTTCCCGTTAGAAATGCAGATTGTGCACTCTTGTCAGCCTTATTTCCATTTTTCAAAACGTTTTTTAAAGTTTTTTTTTTTTTTTTAATTCCCGGTACATGTTATTCAATAAGTAAGTTGTGGAAAGCGAGGTTTTTTGCTGGCTCGCTGTTTTTCCGCAGGTTGCTATCGAGGTATTTGTCATGTCGGAATTATAGCACACAATTGTTTGGGTGACGATCCATCTGCGGAGGAGCTGGGCCTCTCCGGGCATGTTTGGCAACATGCCGCATCTGGCGCATGGCGGCAAAGTGTGCAAGCGTGGAGACGCACAAAAACAATTCTCTTTCGGAATAATTGGGCCTATTCACCAGCAGTTTGTCTCAACAGTGTGGCATTCAGCAATGTTTTTTTTTTTTTTTTTTGCGGGAGACTTTCAGCAGCTAACCCAGCTGTGAAAAAAAAAATTAAAAAAATACGGCATTCTCCCATATATGAGAGGATTGAAATGGCAATTCTTTATTCATCGTGATTAAAAATAAATAAATAAATGCATGAGAGCTCACACAGGGGGCATTTACTCTTTTGTCCTTTTGTAAGGAACAGGACGGTGTTTCCTTATGATAATGACTTCCAGCTGGCATGAGCTTGCAGGTCACAAGAAAATGGATTTAGGAACACCGGTGCGAACAAGGTGCAGCGCCGTGGTACGGTGTTGTCAAAGAGCAAGCAGGTCTCAGGGTGCAGCCTTTTCTCTTCTCCTCAAGGCGAGGCCAGGCAAGCTTTCGAGCACCTCGCGTCCGCAAAGCAACTCGGCGGGCTTCACGCAAAACAGAGTCGCTGACCAAAATGACGAAAGGAATGTACAATGACAACATCTAAACGCTTGACCTGAAAACTTTAAAAACATTTTCAAAGTGAAGAAAAAAAAATGTTTCTTAAATGACCACAAGAGGGAAAAAAAAATGATGGACTGCAGTCAAGTGTAATCGAGAAGACAGCGACGTGACAAGATGGCGCTAATTCCCCATACGTCATTTGTATGTCATGATGCTCATTGAAAAAAAAAAACGACAAAGCATTTTTTTTCTTTTTCTTTTCTTTTTGGATGTGTTGCCGCGTCCCCACAAATGCCACTTTGCGCTGCCACGCGTGTTGATTACGCAGACTGCAAACCGACAGTGGAATATGCGCATCCAGCTTTTGCCAGTGCGTTTGTGGTACGAGCCAGCGTTGTGCAGTGTGCCAGCTCCGCCTGACCTGACCCGACCCGCCGGCAACAACAGAGGTGGCGTGTGAATTTGACACGCCTGTCAGATTTGGCAGACCTGAGCTGGCAGCGAGCGAACGGCAGAGACCATCGCCGTCGCAAAGGTCCAGAGGTGGCCAACGAGCGGGCCAAGCGAGAGAAAAGAGCGCGACGACGAGGCGCAAGATGAATCGCTGGAATTCAAACGGCAGGGAACCCGGGGGATGAGGATTCGAGTTTAGGTTTCAGCCGGGCTTCCGTGAGGCGCGCCCATTTGAAGTCTGGCCTTCGCAAAGGCGCGTGCCGGTTTTCCACCATCGGTTCACGTCTGGAAAACAAGCAAGTGACGGCGATCATTTCATCCCCGTGAGGCCTGGAGCGCGCAGTCCAAACGCAAAGTTTGTGTTTTGGGATTGTACAGGATGTGTTTACCAGGCGAATCGGAAACGATGACTTGTTACCTGCCGTTGAGCTGCAGTGTGTCCATCTGTTGGCGTGCTAATGATGTTCTACGGGGGACGCGGTTGCCCACATCGCTCAGACGACGGAGCCGCGCGAGCACAGATAATGATGGCCCCGTCGGAAAGCTTTTGACAGGGCGGCGTCGCGTTCAAAGCGGCGGCGTGACTCGGCCATTGGACTTGGACTGGTGCGATATATTTATTTTTCCTTGCAGCGCGGCGCCACCGCCATTAGTGCGACAAGAAAGCTCTCATTATGAGCTCGGTTGGTGAGAACGCCTCTTTGTTTCCATCGTGAATCGGAGGACCAGCCATCGCTATGGTTACGCCAGCAAGCCCGGCAGCCAATCGTAGGTTGACGGGGCAGTTGAGATTTGTTAGCTGGCTGAGCTCATTAACGAAAAGTCTCTGTTTGAGGTGAAGCGGGCCCGCCTGATTGCTGGCAGGTGAACCGATGGGAATCTCGGATTCCTCCGAGCGTACCCGCCTCGATGGCCATTCTGACTGTCTCGCCACCACAATTAAATGATTACGATCTTGCCCTTCTGCCTGTTTCTGTCAGTCCCGACCCGCGCTTTCTTTGCGATCGGCCTCCTCCTTTGGCAGGCGTCGCCTTCCGGCTGGCGGAGTGTTCCTGCCGTTTGTCGTTAGGACCGAATCTCCGCCTCTCGCCCTCCGCGTCTGTTTGTCTCGTTTTCTCCCGACGTGCGAGTGGACGAAGAGAGAATTGCGCTCGCTCGACACCTTGATCAACATTCTCTCGGCCTCTCTCGTTAGACCTGGCCTTGCATTCCGTGCCTGTTTGGCCCTCCTCCCCGTTGGGGCCCCCCGGCCTGCCTTCCTCATCCTCTATTCATTTACTCTTGCCGACTATGTCGAGATGAGGTTGTCGGTGTCATTTAACTTCCCCGGCCACTTGATTGTTTTGGAGTCTGTCTGAGTGACCTTCCTCTTTGTTGTGTTTTTTGGGAGATACCTCCTTTTGTACGACTGACCCCCGACCTAATGAAGAACAGGAGCTAAAAAGAGAGCAACGCTGCGGAAAAAAACTGCGCTTTTTGTCTCGAGCGATCTCCGTCCCTGCTGTGTCATGTCATCTCTGTGTATCTCACCCTCAACTATTTTCCCTTCTCACCGTCGTTTCCCTCCTCCTCCTCCCCCACTTGTCCCCCTTTGCAGATGAAATTGAAATGCTGGAGCGCCTTTGGCTGTCAGGTATCTGCCATAATGACAAAATTGAGGTGATGAGCAGTAAGCTAGATATTGACAACATGGCTGGGGTCTTCTACATGCTTCTGGTGGCTATGGGCCTCAGCCTACTGGTTTTTGCCTGGGAGCACTTGGTCTACTGGAAGTTGCGCCATTGCATGGCCACCAGCTCAGGCAAACTGGATTTCCTCCTAGCCATCAGCAGGGTAAGTCTTTTCAACGTACGTTGGGTTTTTGCACATGGGCGACCGTCGTTTGTTTCCTTATCATGTGACACTGGCACGGCGAGAGTGCTCCGCCTCTGAAAGCAGCCAATGAATTCACCACCCCGCCGCCCCTCCACCCCCGAATTATTACTTAATGTCAGGGCACCAAGTATAGAGCGAAAAGATTTCGGAATAAATCCTCGCAAACACGTGTTTGTATCTGTGCCTGCCCGTATCTGTAACGGAGTGCGAGCCTTCCAAAGTGTGAGGTCAGGGGTCAATTCAATCCACTCAGTCAATTGAAGAGATTAATTGAAATTCAATTCGGCTCACATCCCTGGATATCCCGTTCCTTTGACGACGTCCTTGACGGAGCAGTCGCTCACCACCCGCGTGTGCTTATTACATCGGAGATCATATTTCCTCACCTACTTGTAATTATTCGAGTTTATGTATTTTCGTGAGCAATCGGTAATCAAATTCCAAACGGCAGCGGTTGCTGATCTCATAGCGATCAAGCTCTCCTCTGAACCCTTTCTGCCAGTGTCTGTCTATCACGCTCACGTGGTAATTTGTTTTTCATGCTACAAATTGAATGAAGATTTTCTGACTCTCATCCCGCCTTTTGATTCTTTTCTCCTCAGGGCATGTATAGCTGCTGTAGCTTTGAAGATGAAACAGCACCAGGGGGTGCTAAATCATTGAGTTCTCATCACCACACGGCTCTGGTTCCCGTCCCATCCCAAGCACACGTTATCTCAACGTCAATGACCAGCCCGGCTCTTGCTCTAGCGCAGCAGCAACAGCCACCGCAGCAGCAACCGCATTCCGTCTACAAGACGCCTCTGCCCGGCTCTTCTCCCACCCTGGTGCATTCAGGAGCAGCGGTGGGTCCTTCCAGCACCCCCATTGCCGGCGCGCCCCTCCCTTGCTCCACCTTCCTGCCCCGGCCGGATCGCAGGCTGGCCGTGGTGGATCGCTGGAGACTTCCCAAATCCGCAACGGCCGCCAACCCTCGGGCTGTCAGGGGGGGCATTCCTGACATGGGACCCTTCGCTCAAAAAGTCCCTGCAAACTGGACTTCATCCGCCGGAGGAGGCGGGGGACTTGATGGTTACAAGAGATACTATGGTCCCATTGACCCTGAGGGGCTGGGGCCCTGCATGGAGCAGCAGGCAGGGTCCCAGACCCCCAAGACTATGCCGAGGGGCCACCCGCAGCCCCCTCCGGCCAGTGTGGCCTTCTACTCAGAGAAGGGCATGGACCACGGGGTAGGGAAGAGGGTGGTCGGCGGTGGCAGCGGAGGTCAGGGGAAAGTGGCTGTGAAATCTCTTGGAACACCGAGACTGCCTCCCAAGAGTCAAGCCCCTCTGCCTCCTACGCCCCCACTGCCACACCCATCTCCCCCTCTCCCCTCATCCTTTTGGAGAAGGCGAAGGGCCAAGAAGCCCAAAGAACGCGGAGGGCCGCTCTATGAGAACATTTTGCCCCTGGGGCGGAGGGTAGAGGCACAAGATGGAGTGAGGGAGGGGGGAGGAAGGAGGGCACGCCCCCTTTCCCCCCCACTCTCACTTTCTGTGCCAGTACCCCTCAGCCCCTCCTACACCCCGCCGTCACCGTCGGCATCCTTGCACTACACGTCCTCGTCTTCTCCGTCCACCACATCGTCAACGTCCACGTCCTCGTCGGCCTCGTCTTCTCGCTCCACCTCCCCGACATACTCTTACAGCTCCTCCAGGAGCACACGGGGCAGGGCCGGGGGTCTCGATGAAGAAGAGGATGACGATGATGAGGAGCTGACAGAAGAATCCAGCCTTCTCCTCGGGAGGGGGCGAGAGAGGGAACGCTCAATCATCCGGCCTCGCTCCCTGAGCCACGGGCGTGTGCCTCCGCCCGTACCGCCCAGGAAACCACGCGCATCCTGGGGCGACAGGGAACGTCAAAGAGAGAGAGGGGGCAGCCAGCTGTCTCAACTTCAAGAGTGGTGGGCGAGTTGGAGCGAGAGAGAAAAGAGTGGAGCTGGCGGAGAAGCTGAGAGGCAAAAACGTGAGAGGAAGAGAAGAAAAGAGAAGGAGAAGAAGAAAAAGAAAAAGAACAAAAAGAGAAAGAAAAGGGAAGATCGGGAAAGAGAACGAGAGCGAGAAAGGAAAAGGCGGAAAGTGAAAAAGAAGAAGAAAAAGGCACTCAAGACAAAGAAAAGGAAGAAATCCACCGGGGGCAAAAGGTCGGAGCCGGAAGACGGCGATATCGAGCCAGAGAGGGAGGGAGAGGTGGAAGGAGACAGGGAAGCGGGAATACAGGACTATTCTTCCTTTTCTGCCCAGTATCGGAATACGTTTGGGGAGAAGCGGCGAGATTCGTGGGAAGGAGAGCGGGAGAGAGACGGAGGAGAGGAGGCCAACGACAGGGAAGGGGAGGACAGTGGCAGAAGTAGAGAAAGGCATTGCAAGTCATCACATCCCCATTCCAGACACCGCACCCCGAGTAAGCGCTACCCCAACCTGAACAAACTCCCTGCATCAGTCAAATTTTGGGTGAACGGAAGAGGGGGTGACCCAAATACTCCCCCCGCATCCCTGCACCCCTTCCTCCCATCCAGCAAGCGACGAAGAAGCGGAGGCCTAGATAGGGATGAGAGCGGTAGGGGAGGAGAGAGGCGTCCTTTGCTGATGCCTTACGCAAAGGACAAAGCACAGACCAGAGAGGGCCTTTCCTTACACGAGTGGGATTCCGATGATGATGACGATGACGATGATGACGAGGAAGAGGAGGATAGGGAAAGAGTTCGGGAACGGGCGGGCGAGCGGAGCAGTAGGGCAGGTCGGGGAGCCGTGTCTGAAACCGAGAGGGATAGAATCGAAATAAGGGCAGAGGACAGTTACTCAGACGACGGCTCATCGGGGGAGTTTGGACGCTTTGAGAGGTACTGGGAGGGGGGTGGGGCCAACAGCTCCGGGATAGGGGGTATAGGCGGCGGCGGCGGCTGGTTCTTTGGCACGTACCCCTCCAGAGAGAGAGGAGGCAGTATCAACAGTCGGGATGATTCCTTGCTCGGAACGAGGGCAGAGGGATGGATTGGCGCTGACTTTTGGAGTTCGGGGGCAGGTGTCGGTTGGGAATCAGGGGGAGGGAGCGGGGGGCTGGGCTCACAGTGGCCACCGCCCCCCTCGGCCTTTCCTCCGCCAAGGAGATACTGGTCTATGGACAAGATCCCGATGAAGGGGGAGAAAAAGTGGAAGTCTGCCGCTAGGAAAAGTAAGAGGCAAGCGAGGGGGAGAGGGGACGAAGCTCGCCGGGCCACCGTGTGTTCTTGTAGCCTTTACCCGCATCCCCATCCCTACCCGCATCCACCCGGCCGCTCACGCGCCTCCCGTTCCAAAAGGCGACCCGCCTCACTATCGCATAGCCAGGAAGAGCTTCTCCCCCACTGCCACAGTTTCAGCGGGGGCTCCCGGCCCAAGCCTCCACCTCCAAAACCAGATCCCGGTCAGGCCAAATCAGGCAGCCAGTCTAACCTCAGCACAAAGCCCAGCGAGCTCGCGCCTCAACCTCCACCGTCGCCACCGCAGCAGCCATCTCTGTCTCCCACGACCCTCCCAATGCCTATCCCGCCTCCGCCCTCCTCGTCGTCGGTCTCGCCTCCAGCAGGGGTGGGGATGGCTGGCCCGAGCCAGATCCAGGCCTCGGCCAGTGCCAAACTCCAGTACCAGAGACTCCGTTCCGTGCCGCAGCCACGAAGGTTCTACTCACCTCACCTGCCACTTAAAGCCAAGAGTCTGTGCTCGCGTCGAGGGTCAGCTCACTTCTCCAGTCTGGAGAGTGAGGTATGACAGGGGGAGAGGAGAGAGGGAGACGTAGCGGCGAGCACCTCTGCCGTAGAGCGCCGTGGTGCCACGGTAGCCGGACCCAGAAGCGTGGCTGCCTTGGTCAGCTTAGGTCATCGGTTGGCGGCCATCGCCGCCGGAACAAACGTGGACCGCGCTCACGAGAGCGGCACCGGCGCCACCCGCTCCCTTGTACACGTTCTCATTAGGGCCACGGTGAGACGCCACACCAGGTTAAGCTACACCCCCTCGGACGGTTCCGGTGACCACGAGAGTGAAGTCGAGGCCGCATCATCGGGGCCGACGGCTCCAGAACTTCTCCTTCGCTCAGAGTTGAGCTTTGCGATGTCATCCTCGGTTCTGCTCCCCGCAGCGGGTCACAGCTAGGGATAAGTTGAAGTCTCCAACCCGTGAGTAATGATGTCATATTTGTACACACACACACACACACACACACACACACACACCACTGGCAAAATGTGTCCTCTGCTCGAAACGTCTCCCTCCCTCTGGCTTTGAGGACAATTTGGTGGCTTCAAAGGGACACGCACTCTCACTTCTGGCGTTTTTTTATTTTTTTTGGGGTGGACTACTTACAGAAGGTGAAAAGATGCCCCCCCCCCCACCTCCCTTTGCTTTTGTAAATGGGTTGAAAAGCAATTCTCTCACATCTGTCACGCACTCAGTGAGCCTGATCACCTTTCACTTAGCAGTGGGGGACAATGCTACCGATGTACTCTTTGACATTGCAACGCCACCAGACCCATCGAGCTCTACCCCGAACCACCGCCGCCGCCACCTCCTCTATGTGATGTCATGTTTGATTAGAAATCGGCCAGACTGTCCAGGATCTGTTCCTCTGTATGAGTTTATGGTCCAACTAGAACTGGAATACACATTATGAGAGTACTTGAACAACAAAAAGAAACGGAAAGGAGAAGAAAAAAAAGACACGTAGCATCTACTTAATTTTCTTGCTTTCTACTGTTTTTTTTTTCTCAACGCTGTCTTATCTCCAATCTTGTTTTATGTTGTATGGATATATTTCTCTCACTTGGTCAGTGAGTATTTTGAGAAAGAGGAGGCTGGATGTGGCTCGTGTTGGAAGTGGGAACGATTCGGCGGTCGTGCCAAACATCCTCTCGAAAGCTTTGAAGAGAGGCTCCTTTTCCGCATCATTGATTTTCATCCTGAAAGTGCTTCGTTGAGGGATGATAGCTGCAGTACTTGTAATTGGCACTAGATGGCCGCATAATATTCAAGGCAGCTTTGGAGACAACTGTGGAATTCGGGTTTGTTCAATATCTGAATTTCAATAACAGACAGTTGGAGGGGTGCCGCTGCTGATTGTTTTTCCAGATGTGGCCGTTGTGGCAAGATGAAGAACGGGAAAGCGCGACGCATAAAAACCAAAAAAGGGAAAGAAAAGAAAACGAGCAGCAGCGACAGGTGGGTGACCTGTCCCATTTGGAAACCATACCAGCATGATTTTGGAGCCGGTTTACATGAAGCACAATTTGTCGTCGTATTCTTCGAGCACCTGTCGCAACCGTTCTAACAGGGCGTGTTGAGAAGAATCACCCGTTTGCATCGGCGGGCAATTTACGAGGACTGAAGATCCGATTCTTGTGTACGGGTTGCCTCGAAACAGTTATCTGGGCTTTCGGCTTCCGTTTGGGGAGACGAGGCTGAAATACTCAAAGACTGTGAACGCTTCGGGGCGCTGACACGTGACCCGCTGCAATCGCGAATAAATCGACTTCTGTGAGACTGTCTGACCGAGCAATAGTCCCGCCTTCAATGTGACAGGGGGCGGCATAGCTGTTACCTTGTTTTTTTTTTCATGGGATATTTTCATCACCTGGGCTCCGGCGTTCCGAATCTGTGATTCACTTTTGGGTGGCTCGAGCCTGATTTCCAGTCGCCCGGGTGT